CGTGATAACTTCTTTAATTCTGCCATCCTGCCTTATCCCTACCAAACCTATTCTTCCTAACTGTAACCTCTAATTCTCACACCCATCAGTACCTATCCCAGGCTACCATCCCTGATCTAACTTCATTTTCCTCCATTTCCAAATTCATCTCTACAGTTCAACTCTCTGAGCCCTCTGCTTCTTAGTCTCTTGCTACCCTCCCTCCACTATCATCAATGTTGCCAAATGTTTGACTTGATTTCAGGAAAAACTTTCTATAAGTAGAGCTATCTAAAGGTGGAATAGGTTGCTACAGGAGGTGGTGAATTCCTTTCTCACCAGGGATTTTAAAGCATTGCATTATAATCTCTTTTCAGGATTGTTGTAGTGCAGCTTAATCTGTGTTGTTCTTGTTACTGATTTTTCTGTTATGATAACCACATTTCAATATAATTGGCTTCCTCTGTAATCCTATGTATTTTACATTATGCATCTCACACATTATTCTGAGAAGGGGCCCACAGGCTTGGCAAAAGAAAGTGTTAAGAACCTCTGTCGACAAGGAATTCCTATTTAGACAGAGGCTGAACTAAATGGCTTCTGAAGTCTCTGAGTATCAGTGAATTTTCATTTTTCAACTTAATTATGATATCAACCCTTCCACTAAAGTAATACTCGTATGCCTTTTTGTAGCATAGAAATGACCCTGGATTTTCAAAGGTTATGACAGCAGAACATAAAGCTACAATTCCTGGCAGGTGCCACTAAAAGGGAAAAGTTTCAAGTGTCGGCCCCATGATAAACTATGTGTCTGTCCTCTCTCTCACCCAGCCTAAGTTCAAAGGCCTAAAGGTTGGCCATCAGGTCAAGATTTATTTCAGCCACAGAAACTTATAAATGGTCTTTACTCAAGGTTTGAACATGTTTAGATCTGTACAATGAGGAAACACTTCTTTGAAGAGCTTAAGTTTTCAGTTTTCAGTTCCTAAACAGGCACACTAATTCCAGGCCAAGGTATTCTGATGGAGTAGGACATGAGAGGTAGAACGCTTCATGTAAAGGACAAATATAGATGTTTTTATTCTCTAATATTGTCATTTAGTGATCATTACAGTTTGAAGCAAAAACATTATGAAAAATTACATTTTGGGAGGACAGGATTTGAAGATACCATTAAAAGAGTCTGTACTTTGGAAACTTTTACTTTATTAATAATGGTAATGATGATAGGGGTCATTGTTGTCTAAGACCTTGAATTTTATCCAGGTAGAGAACTCCCAGATTGGAAATTATTTCCACTGATGCAGGTCAGCAACTGACCTGTAACTTAACAACATTAAGAGATTTGCCTGGAGAAGCTAAGAAATAAGTGACTTGATCATGGTCACACAGCTAATATATATCTGAAGAACACAGGTCTTTCTGATTTCAAGGACAGGCCAATATCCAAAAAGTCATATATCTCTCAATAATGATCCACAGGTGATACATTATTTCATTGCATCCCTGTAACAAACTCTGGTGATCTAGGTGCTTCCAGTATTGTTTTCCCTATTTTATAGATGAAGAAACTGAAGCTCACAGAGTTGGCCTCCCTACAGTCATATGGTTGGGAAGTACTGGAGGTGGGAGTGAACTCAATTTCCTTTAATTTGGAACAGAATTCCCCACCTTTTCAGTTTGAAATTTCCCTTCAAAATTAACCTGAATTAATAATATTTATTAAGCAACAATTTAAATCCAACACTCTGTTATCAAGCTAAATTTAAGCAAGGTACGGTACCAATTTTTTTGGATGCTATCTAACATTTAGGAGGCAGCTAGGTGGCTCAGGGGATACAGCACTGGTCCTAGAGTCTAGAAGACCTGAGTTCAAATCCAGCCTCAGATACTTATTAGCTGTAAAACTCTGGGCAAGTCACTTAATCTCTGTTTGCCTTAATCTATTGGAGAAGGAAATGGTAAAATATGCCTGTATCTTTACCAAGAAACAGACAGTATGGTCCACAAGGTCACAAAAAGTCAGACATGACTGAATAACTGAATAACAATAAATCTAAAATTTAAAGATTGCCTATTATCAAACTACCCCTTGGCTTGAGGCCAAACTTGCCCTAATAAGGTGAGCTTCCTTACTAGTCTACATTTTCAAAATAATAACAATAACTCACATTTTTATAGTGTGTTAAGGTTTGCAAAACACTTTATTTTGCAAATAGAATGTCAGCTCCATAAGGACAGGGAATGTTTAATTTTTTTTTTTGTTCCCAGTATCTATCACAATGCCTGGCACTTGGTGATTGAGAGCCTGATTAAAATAAAAGGCAATAAATCTGAGACAACGGCATTAAATGAAGTTTTTAAAAATGATTTACTTTTCCTTTTTATGCCATCTTATGTTGTTCTTTTTATACAGACAGGGAAAGTTTAAGAAAGAAGAGGAGAAAGGGACAGATTCCAGAGGATAGATAGAATTAACTGCAGTAGGTTTTAAGTGTAAGTGGGATACAATGTCCTATTCCACAACTAATATACAGTTTCATTTTATTACCAAGGTACTTTGCCTGCCCGAGAATATCACAATTTAATAATAAAAGATTTATTACAGACTAATTTTTAAAAGCAAGACTAAACAAACCAACAAATTTGTCTTGCAGTTACTTCATGTTTATGGAAGGTGCAGGACAGAACCAGCATACCTTGAGGCTAGACATGCTTTTGGAAATATTTAATACTCTAAATATAGTTTTAGCACATGCTAGTCATTGCACAATTTTGCTAATGAGTTTTAAGTTACTGAAATGGACAACACTAAAAGTGTGATGAGGTGCTGAGAGACCAATGTGAACATCCCTAAACCAATTAATTTCTCCCTATTTCACAAGGTTATAGTATAGAAGAATTATTTCTTTTCATAAAACATCTCCTTTACCAAAATGAAATTCTAGGAGCTCTTAAGAACTTTTGAAAATATAAAGTATTTACTGTCCAATAGAGGGCAGCTAGGTGGTACAATCGATAGAACACCAGGTCTGAGGTCAGAAAGACTCTTCTTTGTGAGTTCAAATCCAGGCTCAGACACTTTCTAGCTGTGTGACCCTGAGCAAGTCACTTAATGTGTGCCTCAGTTTCCTCATCTGTAAAATAAGCTGGAGAAGGAAATGGCAAATTACTCCAGTATCTTTGCCAAGAAAACCCCAAATGTGGTCATAAAGAATCAAACATGACTAAAAAACAACAAAATAATAAAGAGTGGCTTATGGTTAAAAGTTATGTAAGTTGAGTAATGTGCAACCCATGTAAAAAGAACCAAAACCAGCAACAAAAACCAAAACCTCAACCTGAGATTTTACTTCCTTGTTGATAACAAATGTAGATGTTTCTTTGAAAAACAAACTACACTAAAAAGACAGAATCTATTCTTGAGATCTAATTCTGCGTAGGATGATATAACAAGTAAGACAAGAACTTCAAAATCTCACTCTCTGGTTTACGAACTTCTTAGTATCTGATTTTTTCCCCCAAAATAAGCATTTTGAAATGTTTGCCCCAATGGTATTTTGATTCACAAAAGGAATGAATTCTTGCCATCAAATACATCTCACATGAGCTTCCTTTACCTTTACATTAATAGCATATTTTTTTTCTCTGCGACTAGACCCAAGATTTCAACTGTTGGGGGAACTTTTGGTTAAAGAACCAAGTACTAGTTCTAGAACTGATCATTTTAGAGAGATGCCTACAGGCACTGAGAAATGAAATGCTTTGCCCAGGGTCATACAGCCAGTCTGTGTCGGAGGTAAAAGTGGAATTCTGGTTCTTCAGATTCTGAGGCCAGCAAGCTACCCAGTATTCCAAGTAGCCCCACTAATTTAAAAAAAAGACCAACCTTTAAATTATGTTTAATTTTCTCTATTGCTGTCTTTCGCTTTTAATTCTTCATGCATCATCTGTTATTTTATTAATCATAATGAAACTCTGGTTCCTAGAATATAGTACTGTAAATAATCACAACGATTTTTACTAGATCAAAAACAAAAACAAAACATCACCACACTTTCCCTTTCCCATCACACCAAGTGAAAAATGAATGAAAGCAACTATGGTTTCTAACTCACAGAGCATAAATCATTTACCCTCATCGAGTAGACAAACATTTATTTCAAAATCAGGATTATGAACTTAAAAATACCACAATGATTAGAAGAAAGACAAATTGTAGAGATGGCTGGTTTTACTGAGATGCAATATAATAGCTCATTCCAAAATCACAATTCCAATATATTTTACATAATTGCACATATATAATCTACATCAAATCGCTCACCTTTTTAGGGAAGAGGGAAGGAACGGGGAGGGGAGAAAAAGGAGAAAGGAGAAAATCTAGAACTCAATTTTTCAAAAAAATGAATGTTAAAAATTGTTTTTAGGGGCAGCTAGGTGGCGCAGTGGATAGAGCACCGGCCCTGGAGTCAGGAGGACGTGAGTTCAAATGCGGTCTCAGACACTTGACACTTGCTAGCTATGTCACCCTGGGCAAGTCACTTAACCCTGCGGTTAAGTTTTGGTTAGCCAAAAAAAAGAAAAAAAATTGTTTTTACATGTAATTGGAAAAAAAATAAAAAAATAAAAAAAACCATTTAAAAAACCAAAATTACAATTCCACTGATTTTTATTTAGAAAGTCTGTTTTCATTGTCTGTTCATTGCTTCTGATGAAAATTGCCGTAAAAATTTTGGTTAGTTTAAATGTACCTTCTTCTAATATAATTGAGCTTATTTTGCTTCAGGAATATTTACTCTTTACTTCTTTTATTGGTTTTCCAATTGTTCATTTCTATTTTCTCTTATATTTGAACTGATTTACCATTTCTGAATTTAGCTCACAATTATTTTTAAAGGAGGCCAAAGGGGAGAAAAAACAAACAAAAAAAACCCAAACCTCCTCAGTTGAGACAAAAATTTTCAGCATCATAAGTGTATACAATGTTCCAAAAATATAGTTTAAAGTATTTTCCTTACCTGATGTATTATGTCAGAACTTGGTGGAACTTTCAGTGTAATTGAATTATATTCCTCAGCTAAGAAAGATAAGACACAAAACTTGATATAAAGGAATACCAACATAATTGACACACATTCATCCCTCCTACAAATGGTACTCTTGGTGAGCTTGGTCATTTGCTTGCCAAACATCCTGTTCGAACAAGTCATACTAGGTCACTACTCAGTATCTTACTTTTGTGTTACAAACTAGACAGTACATTCAGATTTGTCTTCTTTAGGACTCACCCCTAAAGGATCAAAGCAATATAGTTTCTATTTTGTTGTGGTTTCCTTCTGAACACTTAAAAGATAGAAAAGAATAGGGGAGGGGGATGGGGAGGACGTAGGGAGTCAATTTATAACACCTTTCAAAAATTGCTTCAAGTTGACTTGTTCATTATTGGGTTTCTGCCACCCATAATCTCATTTCACAGCTTCCAACCTGTGATAAAAGGCCCACAGTGTATGTGTTATAATATAAATTAAAAATTAGAATGAGGTTCAGCTAGCTTTTTAGCTTGAATCATGTAACTCAAAGATAATTTTTTTCCTTCTACATCATGCAACTGAGGCTGAGTGTACATCTTCAACTTATTTTTACTTTTTAAAAAAGCTGGGAAGTTCAAAACAGACATACTAATTCTCTACACGTATAATTTTCTAAAAAGAAAAGGTAAAGGCTTTACCTTTCACATTTAAGGTTAGAACCTTGTCAATTGAAAAAAATAAGCTAGGGATAAGAATTGTGATTTTTGTTCTCTTTCCTCCATTACTGTTGACTTTTGAACCATGCCAACAGGAAGCATGAATCTTAGCAACTCCTACACCTTCCTTCAAAAGGTCCTAGATATATGACTTAAGCCCTGATTCTCATAACAGTGGACACTGTAATTTCAACAAATCCACAGCATTTTCTGTTCATTTTCCTGAATTCCTAGGTCAATTTTTATAACAACTTGAGTTTGGGAGGTTTTATTTAAATAAGGCATTTGAAGTACTTCTCATAGGTTCCTAGTTGTTCTTCTCTGCCTTCCCTCCTCCCTCCAAAAACCATTAAAAACAAACAGAGAGGGGTGGCTCAAATGTGATTTTCTACTATATTGTTCTGCTTTTTGTTATTGTTTCTAATCAATCTGTTTTGACCTAAAATTGGTACTAGAGTTAAAGAAGTCAACATTTGTGTGAGAAGCAGTGTTCATGGAAAGAGTATGGGTTAGGGGGTCTATGTAAATGCAAAGAGTGCTCATCCTAAGACTGGACCAGTAGCTATGAAATTGGTGGGCAAGAAGTATTATCAGATCCAAATGTAGACTATAGTGTACATCATATTTGTAATGTAGACTTAACTTGGTGGCAGCTAGGTGTGGCAGTGGATAAAGGAGTGTTTACTATGTTTTTTAGAGGCTGAGGAAAAACTCAAAAGATTAAGATCTATACAGGTGTGATTTTCTAGGTTTTTTTTTAATACTATTACAACAAACATAGTATTGTGGATAATGGAGGAATGGACTTGGAGTCATGAAGTCATGAGTTCAAATCCTGCCTTTGGACACTTTCTAGCTATTCAACCCTAAGTCACCTAAATTTCCTCAGTCTCAGTTTCCTCATCTGTAAAATGGGGATAGTAATAGTGCCTACCTCCCAGGGTTATTGTGAGGTAACTTTAAACACACTATAAATTCATTCAGAGACCTGGCACCAAGACAATTTTTAGTGAATGCTATAAAAATATGGCAAGGGTACAGGCTGGGCAATAATTTGTTAGGGAAAGTGGAGGTCATAAAATATTTAATAATGTAGTTGTGCATAACTGAAGGGCACACATCTATTCATTTTCATAGTGGTGGGGTCGTAGGGCTCAGAAAGGAGGTTTCTCCAACAATGTGGGATCCACTCTCTTAAAAAATGTTTCTATTTATTAAGCCAATAATTGAAGATTTTCCATCAGTTGCCATGGAAACTGGAAGCATGGAAACCAGCCATTCCCATGAGATGCCAGTAAAAGTATCCTATAAATTAATTCTCTGAACTTTTGCTCCAAACTTCAGTATGGTGCCCGTACAAAGTTTTCATGTACTTTATGGAAAAGTTTAGCAGATCAGATAAGGCTGAGTGCTGCCACAGGAGAAATTTCAGCATTTACTCAACAGCAGTGACACAACTGTAAAAAGGGAATGATAAACCCTTTCTTCTCATTGAAGATGTTGATCATTGAAAGTCCATCAGGTCTATTTGTGACATATATAGTAAAATCATATTAACCTGAAGTCCTCTATTTAAGCTGGGCCACAGACCACCTTTGTATTATCTACGGAAACAGGGTTTGTTAGGTAAATTAGCCAAAATTCCACAGGGTATATGTTTAACCTACCTCTCAGAGTAAACTTTTAAATAAGTTTATTTTAACTATATACAAATATGTACAGTTACAAATTACTCATCTATTAATTTAGGCAGGCCCAAAGAAATCTCTATTTTGTTAGAACTTAGTATGTTAGGACTTGCCAGAGCTTGTGACCCACTGACACACTCTTTGAGAACACTGAGTCATCTCACATGTAAGGGTGAATTTAGTGAAGGTGAAAGTAATTAACCTTTTTTTTTTTTAAACACAAACTATAAGGTTTTTTTGTTTTGTTTAGCTTTGTTTTTACTAATTCATTTAGGCCTTTCTTTCTATAAACCAATTATTTTGAACTAGTGAAGTCTGATTTTAAATGTGAAATAAAAATTGACTCCTGTTGGTTTAATTTATATAATAAATACAGGTTAACAATTTAAAACTTTTCACCAGATGCAAAATGGAAACACATTCTATTAACTTACAGAATTTGTTGCTTTTGTAAAGTGATATTTTAAAGGATATAAATCACATATTCTCTTCAAATCAAGTATGTAAAGGCAAGCAAATGCATATCACTCTAATTTTAAATCATTTAAGATTTTACAAAACTCAGGAGATTCTAGAATTTTCATTTAACAGAGTATTTGCATGCTAAACACCAAGCTTTAGCCTTCAAAACAGGAAATCTTTACATTTGATACAATATCTTTAGAAGAGTCAAACTATGATTTTGCATGATAAGGTCTTTGGCTTTTTCTTGGCCAACTCTGTTTTCAACTTGTATCATTGATGGTTGGCTTTTGCATTATTACAATAAAATCTTTGATTATTCTCTATTTTCATGTGCCTTGATCTCTCCCTCAATTTTCTTTTTACAATACTCCTCATTTCCTTAAATCCATTAAACCTCTAGGCTTGTGAGGCTAACTCTGATAAACCCAACTTTGTACTTTTAATTGCTTTACTGAAATAAGTATTTGGCTATTTAGCACATCGAGGTGAGACTATCTCCTTGAAGCTGGCTGAGAAACAACTATTATGGCATGGAATATCAAAAGGGTGGAGATGGGGGGGAAGGGATGCAATAAATCAGGCATGAAAAATGACTTTATTAGTGAAAATTTAAAAACTTCTTTGAAATGAATCACACACACACATATATGATCACATTCTTTCTTGGTGTGTGTATATATACATATATATAAATACATAAAATTCTTTGAAATGAATCACACACATATTTATATACAAAAGAGGGAGAGAGGTATGATCATATATATATATCTATAAAGAGAGAATGGGATCATATATTTGTGATTCATTTCAAAGAAGTTTTAAAATGATATACTATGTATGTGTGTATGTATAGATAGACTATGGAAAGAGAGAGAGAGAGAGACAGAGGTGGGGGAGGCAATCAGGACATTTAACAGCTCTAGGTAAATGGTTGTATGTTTAAATAGCTGCTATTTTTGTCATGGAAATTAAAGCTGAAAAGGACATTAAAGATTATTTGGTTTAACACCCTTATTTTGAGGTGTTTTCAATTTTTCTTGAGTAGTACTACAAAATGGAGTTACTAAAAAAAAAGGCTAGGGGAAATCTCTAAGCAGTTTAGAAAATCTGATACCTCCTGAAAAATCCTTTTAAATACAGTGGGTAGGTAGGGCTTACCCTAGGCATTCCTAGACTTCCCTTTCTGCCACTCTTTGTGTTCTCCCTGCTGCCCCATCTTTTAATTTCCCTCCAATTCAAGTACACAGTGCTTGCTTCTATCCCTCCTCACTAATATAAAAACCTGGCAATGTGTTTCCTTACCTTAAGCAAATAATATCATATGTTACTTTTCCCAGAGTTGTTAGTAGGGTAGGGGGTGAGGAGGGCAGTGGAGGTGAAGAATAAGAATGAATCTCTAATTATGGAAATTCTAACATCAGGCAATAATATGTACAGACATGGTGTCCCCAAAGGTCTTAGTGCTTAAATTGTATTGAGTCTTTGGGGGACACTCTGTATAAGTTTTATGTTTTATTTTTATCAGATCGGAGGGGAAAGCAGTTGATAACTACTTTGCCTGTACTTACTCTTAGCCCAGAAAGTACCTCCCAGTTCTCCAAAGAAGCAGCTTTGAGATCATTTGCCTGTATAAGAAAACTGTTGGGGAAACCCAAGTTGGGTGGGAATTCCCACTGTTTCCATGGTAGTGATAGAGCCTAACAAAATTGCCCACTTGGGTAATGCTGAGAGAGGAGAGAGAGATTTTCTACCTCTGACATTTCTGCAGAAATTACAGGTATCTGCAGCTGTATCTGACTGCAGGGAGTTTACCTGTCCCCTCCTCTCTCCCTTCCCAACCCATTCCTCCCCCCCAAGGGAGACCTCAGATCGAAAGCAAAATTTCTGACTTGGCAATGGTGTCAGGTTCAAATGTTCCACATACATGTTCAGGCCTGTGATCTCACAATCGCCTGGCTTGCTTCAATGACAAAATCTAATTTTGCAAGATGCCCTGCAGTATAAGCAATAGAAGATAGGCCACGTGATTTCAGTGGTCTATGCCGTGTATTGGCACTGGAGGTAGAGAGTGCTCAGGTTCATTAGCTTTAAATGAACAAGTGGAACACTTTATAGTTTGGCACAAGCAGGCCACAGATGGAATGTCATTCAACTAATTAAAACTTTATTTAAGTTTTAATGAAGACAAAATGAGAAATATTTTAGAGATTTTGATGACAAAATCCATTTTAGAGATATTTGTGTAGTAAGTCATATGTCAAATTATTTACATGGAAACATACACGTGTATATAATATATTTATGTATGTGTATGTAGATGTATGGGTATGTATGTTGAATATACACACATACATAACTGGGACCAGATCTTCAACTTTATTGTAACAGGGATTTATTGATGAGAAAAGTTGTTTACCAAAACAGATCAACACCTTCTCTTCAAGAGCTCCCTAAGCCACTGGAAAGATCAAATGACATGCCTAGTATCACACAAGCAGTCATGTATCAGAGGTAAGTTTTGAATCCAGCTCTTCTGGCTCTGAGGCCATCACTCTATCCACTAAACTATGCTGCTGCTTATCAAATGGGAGCTGTAAATTGTCCATGATATATTATCAAATTCAGAAAAAAGGATTGTATTTTGGCTGAACTATGGTTCAAAACAGTTTTATCATTTAACCAAACGTAATTAAATAAAAATAGTTGCATTAAAATTAAAATAACTATTATTGTACATACCTTTAGGGAGACCTGTATCTTGAACAGGATATTTTTCTGACTGTACGACAACAACAAAAAAAGGAAAGAAAAGTTGTATCAATATGAAAATATTTGATAATCAGATCAGATTAAGGTAAATTGGAATTTTCTGCTATGGGAAATAAATATTAAAATTATAATATTTCAAGTATTTTGCTTAAGGATTTATCAGCAGCATTGGTTTAGTTATTGTTATCAATCCCATTTTATAGATGATGAAATGATTCCACATGTATAACCTATATCAAATTGCTTACTGTCTCAGGGAGAGAGAAGGGGAAAGGGAGAGAAAGATAGAATTTGGAACTCAAAACTAAAAAGAAAAGTTAAAAATTGTTTTAACATGTAATTGGGGAAAAAATAAAATATTATTTTAAAAAAAGAAGAAATTAAGGCTCAGATAAACCATGGAATCTGTCTAATGTGACAAGGAGTCAATGTTGGTAAAACAAATGCTCCTAAGTTCTTAGCTTTGGCTCTGACCACTAAACCACACTTCCCCTCTTCTATATAGTATTTTTCTCCATATCTTACTTCCTGTATTTTAAGTATCTACATATCATTTGAGAGGCACTTGTTTTCTTTTTTTTCTTGAGATAACATTTTAATGGAAAATAACTTTATCTTCTGTAACAAATTCATGAGAAGTGATATTATATAAATTTTGACATATACATACATATTTTATACATACATATGTATATTTACATATACATAAAATCTCTTTAATGTTTTGCTTAATAGAAGATAGCTGAGGTCTCGTATCTGCTTCTACATTCAATCTGTTGCCATATGTTGTTTTGGTTGAAACATATGAAGAAAATCCAGTCTCAGATACATAATTGGAAAAGCGAGGACCTATTTAATAGCCACCTTAGTATTATTATAAAAATAGTTTTGACATTGCAGACCCCCTGAAAAGATCTCAGGACCCCCCACATGCTCCTGGACCACATTTTGAGAACTGCCAACATAACATATAGTTTGGTATGAGATTGCAAATATAAACTGGTTTCCTCAAAGAGGAAAGAAAGAAACAAGCATGTATTAAGTGCTTATTATGTGCCAAGCAGTTAGGTGGCACACAGTGGTTAAAGTACTAGGCCTGGAGTCAGGAAGACCTGAACTCATATCAGATCTCAGACCCTCACTAGTTACGTGACCTGTGACTTCACCTCTGTCTGCTTCCCTTTCGAGAGGCACTTGTTTTCAAATTAGATTGTAATTACACATTTCTCCACTATATAAACAGATACAGAAGGCAATATGGTGGAACAGTGGAAAGAGTACACACAGAATGTGGAGTTGGAGGACCTAGATTTGAATCTTGCCTTTAATTCTTATTATCTGTGTGACCTCAGAGAAGTTACTTAAACTCCCTGGACCTCAGTTTCTTCATCTGCAAAATGAGGGAACTGTAGTAGATGACTTCTGAAGTCTCTTCTAGCTCCCTATCTGTAATGTTACAATCCTATTTTGAAGGAGACTCAATTTGGAGTAAAAGAGTTCTGATCTTGGCTCTATTACTTACTATTTGTGTAACCATGGACACACACATTATTCTAGATTAATAAGGAGCCACTGGAATTTACTGTATTGTTGCCATAATCAGACTTGTGCTTTAGGAAAATTATTCTGGAAGTTCTGGGAAGCTTGGATTGGAGGTGGGAGAGAATTGAGGCAGGGTGACTCAGTGCTGGCTATGTGAGTTGATAGGAAAGGACACATGGGAGAGAACTGTGAATCTGGCAAACAAGTTTTGGTAAATGACTGAATATGTGGGGTGAATGAGAGGGAGAAGTCAGGGATGAAATAAAGGATATAAAACTAGGTGACTAGAAGGATCATGGTAACCACAATAGAAGGAACATTCTGTAAGGGATATGTGGAAATGAGTTCTACTTTGGATGTGTTGAGTTTAAAATGTTTACAGGACATCCAGTACAAAATGCCCATCAGGCAAAATGTCCATTGGTGATTCAGGGCTGGAGCTCAGGAGAGATACTAAGACCAGGATATAACCCAGTTTTCATCTGCATAAAGAAAATAATTTAACCGGTTGGAACCGGTGACGATATTAAGTGGGAGAGCGTAAAGAGGAAAGATGAGGGCCTTGGGGAACACCCATAGTCAGAGATCATGGTACAGATGATAAATCAACAAAGGAGTGGTCAGATGGGTGGGAAGACAAAACCAAAAGAGAACAGTGTCATGAAAACTCAGAGTGGGGAAAATACCTAAGAGGAGAGAGTCATCAGTCAGGGTTCAATGCTTCAGGAAGAGTGAAGACAAAGCAAAACAAAACAAAACAAAAAACAAAATCCCAAAACCAGACCATCACACTTGGTCTGTGTGAGACAGTCTGTGAGAGAGCAGCTTCAGCTAAGTGATGAAGTGAGAAGTCAGACTGAAAAGGGTTGAGGAAAGGACAGGTAATAAACATCAAATAATTTAACCTCTCTGGGATGTATCTTTCTCATGAGTAAAATGAAAAGTTTGTACTGAATGGTCTCTAAGGTTCCTCGCAGCTATAAATCTATGATGCTATTCATGTCATGATTTCTGCGCGCAATTTATTCTATATTGGACAAACATTTGAGTGCTTATACATATATTCATATAAGTTTCTATCTAAAAAAATTTAAAAAAAATTAAAAAAGAAGTTTCTATCTAATTAAAGATTTATAATCAGCTCTTATCAATAGCAGTAGAGAGGAATTATAAAAATAATTAATAAAATAACTCATTTCCATAACAAGTCACATTTTTATAGTGTTTTAATAGTTATGAAGTATTTTCCCCACCACCACCCTGTAAGGTAGATAGTGAGAATATTATAATCCTAATTGAGAAAACTGAGATTTAGACTGGTTAGGTGACTTGCTCAAGGTGAGGATTTCTGGGGGAGAGTCTGGGATAGGGAAGCGCAGTAGATATTTAGCCCCTCCCAAGTGTGTCACAATTATTTATTCTGAAGTGTCTTAAATCCCCAGGTTGTTAGACCTGCCTGTATTCCAAATATCCGTCAGTGAGTGTGTGATCTCATCAGTGTGGGCATTTCATCAGTTGGTGTGAATTATGACCTATCCATACTTTCTTATTATGTGTAGTTTTCATCCATGTTCTTCCATAACACCCTCATGGAGGATATATCCAACCTACTTTCCTCTAGTTGAGTTAGGTGACTTGCTACTTAACTTCACTACTTCTACAGAGGGCACCACTGTTTTTACAGCCATTTTTGACTTCCCTCTCTTTCACCCCTTAGTCCAATCACTTGATAAGTTTTATTGATTCTACCTCTACAATAAACCTTGTGTCTTTCCTTTTCTCCCTCACATAGCCGCCATCTTAATTTAGGTCCTCACACCTCTCACGTAGACAAATGCCAACAGGCTCTTAATTAATAGCTTCCTAGTCTTTATCTCTCACATTTCCAATCCATCCTCCATAAAGCTGCCAAATTGATCTTCGAAAACCACAGGTCTGATCATGTCACTCCCATGCTCAAGGTCACATATTAAGTAAATAAAGGAGATGGAAGTCAAACCCAAGTCTTCTGACTCTAGTACCTGTGCTCCTATAATCACTACTTATTTCAAAGAACAAATAATTTAAAATCCCTTATATTTACCTCTGGAATAAAATTTCATGTTTATATTAGAAATTTACTTTTCTTTCATGCACTGACTTACCACGGTCCAAAAATTCATCCCCTAGTGGTTAACCTCCTGGTGATTTGTCTGTCTCAGTTCTTAGCTAGGTCAGTCTTCAGATACTATAACTGAAACCTTTCTGGCATGAGAGAAGCTGCCAAAGTTTAGGCTCTCTAGGCCCTCTCTCCAGGGTCATATTCACAACATCATCAAGCAAAAGACTCAACTAGAGGAAAGTAGGTTGGATATATCCTCCATGAGGGTGTTATGGAAGAACATGGATGAAAACTACACATAATAAGAAAGTATGGATAGGTCATAATTCACACCAACTGATGAAATGCCCACACTGATGAGATCACACACTCACTGACGGATATTTGGAATACAGGCAGGTCTAACAACCTGGGGATTTAAGACACTTCAGAATAAATAATTGTGACACACTTGGGAGGGGCTAAATATCTACTGCGCTTCCCTATCCCAGACTCTCCCCCAGAAATCCTCACCATTGCTTCAATTCCCTGTTCTTTACTTCATGATTGGAATGAAAAGTATTTTTCCTCAGACTATACTTCAGCTTAGGCAAAGCTGCCTTTCTTTCTCCGAGCTCCTCGTGTGTCCAGCTCATACACCTTCCCTTAATACTTGCTGAAACGAAGGCATTATAATACATGTTTTTCTTTAAAAAGGTCCTTCCTCATAGCTAAACCCTGATAGGAGAAAGGAGGTAGTGACCTCACCTCCCACTCCCACCTCCACACTTTTCTTCTAATTCTCGCTGACCTGGAAAGTAACATGAATCAGTTGGTGAAAATGCTAGTAGATTAGGGGAAAATAAGGCAATGGGGGCTTTAAGGGCAAAAATCTGTGAAAGAAATCTACTGGCTTTTTGACTATAATGAAGTAGAATTTTTCCCTCTACTTAACTTCACTACTTCTACAGAGGGCACCACTGTTTTTACAGCCATTTTTGACTTCCCTCTCTTTCACCCCTTAGTCCAATCACTTGATAAGTTTTATTGATTCTACCTCTACAATAAACCTTGTGTCTTTCCTTTTCTCCCTCACATAGCCGCCATCTTAATTTAGGTCCTCACACCTCTCACGTAGACAAATGCCAACAGGCTCTTAATTAATAGCTTCCTAGTCTTTATCTCTCACATTTCCAATCCATCCTCCATAAAGCTGCCAAATTGATCTTCGAAAACCACAGGTCTGATCATGTCACTCCCATGCTCAAGGAACTCCCGTGACTCCCTCTAGCCTTTAGAATAAAATACAAATCCCTCTGTTGGGCTTATAAGATCCTTTCAGAATCTGTAGCTAACTCGCCTTTCCTGGGATACCGCACACTCATGTT